TGTTCTCCCGGCGCCTATTTATACTATAGTCGCGCCGGTAGTGACGTCATGGCTGTCGCCGGCCAACTTGTTGTTGGTGTTTTTTCAATGTATGCTTCAGACACGGGTCACAACGAGGTGTTCCCCATAGCGACCCCTATAGGACGCAGTTCGAAGTTCCCTTGAAAGGGAACTTACCTGATAAGGGCTGATATGACAAAAATATTGCCAGTGCAAAGGGAATTGCAATGTACCAGAAATAAACACCTTCCACTGGACCAGAGAAGGAGATTTCCTATAGAATCCTCTCTCCAGATCCCATGAGCTAGACAGCCATCACTGGCCATAACCCAGCCCAAGCGGGAAGTGTTTGTCATTGGTATCAGTCACAATACACACCTAGAGTGGAACCCAAGGTGAGGAACCTGGGTCTGAGGCGCTTAGAAAAAGGGTACGATGCCCGCAGTGAGTAATCCTTACCATGTATATGGATATTAGAAAGTGCACAAGAGGCTCAGCATGTGCGCTTGGCATAAACATGGATTTTAGCAACCTGGTATGACTGCATCAGAGACCTCTAGGGAGAGGAGTACTCGACTCTCAGTACAAGAGGAGAACTCATGCTCATAGGTGATCCTTCTGAAGAGAAAGGAGCACTGCCAAGCTCAACCATAAGGGCAGACCGTCAGGGAAGCCAAGGAAGGCCTATCAACCTGGTATGACTGCCTCACGGAGCTCAAAGGAGTGGAATACTTGACTCTCAGATTGAGAGGAAACCTCACATGCTCAAACTACACACATAACTCTGCTCCTGGTAGCAGCATGCTCATAGGCCACCCTCTAAATCGAGGGGAGCACTGTCAAGCTCCATTATATGGGCAGTCCGCATGATAGCACAAGATAGGGCTCGGGGAGTGGCGTGCTCATAGGAGACCTTCTAAAGTAAGGGGAGCAGTGCCAAACTCAATCATGAAGGCAGTCCATCAGGGAGGCCAAAGGGAAGCCTATCAGGTTGGTGTGACTGCAACACAGAGCTTAGGGAGCGGAGTACTCAACTCTCAGATCACGAGGAGAACTCACATGCTCAGTCTGGGAGCGGCATGCTCATAGGCAACCCTTCTGAAAAGGGGGGACCACTGCCAAACTCAACCATAAAGGCAGCCCATGGCCTTGGGAGGCCAAGGAAGGCCTATCAACCTGGTATGACTGCCTCACAGAGCTCAAAGGAGCAGAGTACTTGACTCACAGATTGAGAGGAGAACCAACAGTAATTGGGAATGTCTAGTAGACCACAAAACCCAAGATCACCAGAGTGAAGCGGATGACGTATTCTCCCGGTGCCCTTTTATACTATTTATACCGGTCGTGTACTGATGTCACAGGCTGTCGCTGTCCAATGTTATTGTTGTGTTTAGGCATGTGCTTCAAACACAGGTCACCTGAAGGTCAAGGCGACCACTCATGTCTGTTTATTTAAGTGATTTAAGAACTGAAGAGTTGCAAGCTAGTTGCTCCAGGAAACTGTCCCAAAAAAGAATATAGTGTAAGTGGCTTCAGATGTAACTGCGCAAGTATCTTCTAAAGCCTCGTTCAGACTGTTAGCCCAAATCCGATTTTGTGCATATCCGGATGGAATCTGATTTGAATAACTGACTGTCCACACAGTGTATCGCAACTGTTCATATACGATTTGTGTGTCCAAAAGCGCTCTTTCGTTTTACGGGATGTGCGTTGGTTTCTATGACAATGCCGTTGCGTTGTTATGCCTATGCTAAAAACAACAATAACAGCAATACCGTTTGCAATACAGATGTTGTCTTACGATAGGACAACATGTTGCCGTCACGCTGGATAATATTTCATCATATGAGGCAGTGGCAGAAACGTGGGAAGCTGGAATGTGCGACTTTATTCTGTGCTGCCGTCTCCGCTGGTTTCAAAACTCAAAGAGGTGCGTATACTAGCAGTTTATTGTCTTTTTCCGCTTGACTTGCAGTTCACAACAACACGAGCTTGTTTCTGCAACAAAGTTTATTATGTTTTCTACAAAAACGTTTGACGTGTTTTGCATGGTGTGAAAACGTGAAAAAGCTATGTTAAATCCGATCTGACCGATCAGACTGAAACGGATTTCCAGGAATGTGATTTGAATAGGATTCCAAACCACATACGAATGTAGCTCGAAACGGATTGGCAAAAATCGGATTCCCTGTAGATTTGCACAAAAATCAGATTTGGGCTGACAGTATGAATGAGGCGTAAAAGACAAGTAATGCAACGCCTAATATTTGTTTTTATCCTAGACCGTGGTTTAAGAGTGAATAAAGTATGCACTCGGTCATCAGATACTGTTTGTGGGCCACTAGAGAGATTCTACTGCATTGAAAAAAAGAAAGGCTGCTGTACTTTAGCTGTGCAACATTCGGAATGTAGCCCTGGACAATATATCAAACAAGCAGGTAAATGATAAAAAAAATCCTATTATATAAACATACATGAAACATTGCTTATTGTTATCTGTGCTGCATTAAATGTAATAGAAGAAGGAAGAAATGAATAGACAAGCACAACAGTGGCAGTTTAATTTGCTGACTGTCTCCGCAGGTACTGGCTCCACAGATACTATATGTGCTGACTGTACAGGTGACACATATTCAAACGGATCTTTCTCATCCTGTTTACCACACACAATGTAAGTGCTCACTTGTGCTGTTTATGTGTGCTGTTGGTAATTTTTTAACAAATCTGATCCTGCATATTATTCACAGATGTGAAGCCCTGAGACTTACTGAAATAAATCCAGGAACACATTCATCTGACACCAAATGTGGAAATCCGTCTACAGCTGTAGCAATAATTACCCCTAGTGTGATAGTTACTTTAATATTAATTCCAGTAATAATTGTTTTCATATTTAAACACATTCGGAAGAAGAAGCAATCAAAAAGTTCAGGTAAGTGTTAATTCAGTTATTTTTTGTAGTATGAGATCTATAGTTGTTTTTTTCTATAATGGAATTTTCTATGAAAATTCAACAATCAATTCAGGCTGGGACACTTTGATAATCATTCATATACACTGTATATTGCTACACTTAAAAATGATGGTGCTGTAGAGAGGATTTTACACAGATTTATTATTATTATAAATGTTGATTACAGTTGTGCTGCTTAATTTTTGTGATAAAGTAGCATTCAGAGGTTTGGGGTAAGTAAGATTAAAAAGAAAAGACAATAAAAAATATTTATGTTTCAAATCAATGCCATTCATTTAAAATTTTCTATACATCAAAGAAACCTGAAATAAATTACATCAGGGTTTCCACAAAAATATTAAGCAGCAAAAACTGTTTTCAACCATGATAATAATACAAATTTTTAATAATGTTATATTAGAATGATTTATGAAGGGTCTTGTGACACTGAAGACTGGAGTAATGGCTGCTTAAAATTCAGCTTTGCCATCACATGTATAATATTGTTAAATACATTGAAATATAAAACAGTTATTTTAAATTGTAATAATATTTTACTGTATTCATGTTTTTACTGTGTTTTTGAGCAAATAAAAGCAGTTTTGGTGAGCATAAAAGATGCATTTCTAAAACATACTATTTTAAACTGTATATTGCAGATATTATTGGTTTATATTTGCATAATAAAAAAAATGCTCGTTGTTGGGTAGTTTTGGTTTTGCACTCAGTAATATTTGTTTGTTGTTAGTGTAACAGTTGTAGTATACAGCATGTTGCAGATAGATGGAAATGTATGTAGATAGGCGCAAAAGTGAATTTTTTTCACTTTTTTGAAGGAAACGCATGTTCAAAATAACCACTTCAGAAACGGTTGTACACTGTAAAAAATTTTCACCCCTTTCAACTTAAAAACGTAAGTTTTGTGGCTGCCTCTGCCAAGAAACTGTCATACAAAGCTGAAAATACACTACCTCGTGGGAAACAACCACTGAGAAAAGCTTGAAAAAAACACATACGTGTACATTACAGTCCTTTTTTTCTTGAACATTTAAAAGGAGAAAGGTGTCCTACAGTGCACCATCGTAGTCTTCTTATTAGGAGGCCAGCTTGCACGCCCTTCTTGTATGAAGTATCTCACCATGAGCCTTTAAAATCAGAAAATAACAGTAAAAATGACTAACAGTTGGTTATTTTATATACAATACACACTGACAGACTTCAATATACACAAATTAATTAAAAACATTCAATATTTTGAATAACAAAAAAAAAGTGATTGTTTAAAGCAGGGGTGTCGAATCCTGCTCTGAGGGTCACTGTCCTGCAGAGTTTAGCTCCATCCTTAATGAAATACATCTGAATCAGTTAACTAAGGTATTACTAGGCATACCAGAAACTTCCAGGTAAGTTGTAGCTAAATTCTGCAGAAGAGTGGACATCCAGGACCGAGTTTAGACACCTCTGGTTTAAAGTTTCCCTATGCTGCTTTTGTGAGTAATAGGAATGTAACAATGTACTCAAAGTCGGTTGAAAATCGATGCAAATATGTGCTGCAAGTGAAAATGAAAATTCTGTCATCAATTACTCACCCTCATAAACATAAGTTGTCATGGCTTTTTCATCATATCATTTTTTACAGTGATTTTCCTGTTCACTCCAGTCACACTTGTCATCTCTACTCTTTTATAAAAAAAACAACTCATTTCCTGATTTTAGTAAACATGTAGTGTTTAACATTGTGACTAGAGCAGTCAGTTGCACATAGTGGAAAAAGTCAATTTTCTGTCAATTCAAGTCTATCCCCCAGTGCTTGATCTCTGCTTATTTCTCTTCTGATTCAGATGAAATTTTCACAGGATAATAAGCAATAAAGGACTCAAATTTTAGCTGGATGCAATGAGTCAAAGTAAAAAAAAACACAATTTTAATGGATTTGTTCTACTGTTTTAGTTATAGTAGCAATTTGCTTAGTAGAAGAACACATTACTTTGTGCTGAAGGCGAAAAAGCCTTCAGTATTTGTGCCTGCTGCCTGCTGCCTGCTAATTTGTAAACACACAGTAGGACATTTTGTCGTGTGTTCGTTATGTTCCATGTAATTCTGGGGAACACACAATCCTGGGAACATAAAAATGACTCTCTCTGACCCAATGGACAATGATTAGCTTACACTACAGATACAAAAAAAAAAAAAAAAAAAAAATCAACATAAAAAAGCAAACACTTTTATGCCAGTATAATGTACAAACATTTAATATATACTCCACATACAAATCAGTCATTGTTTGAGCTTTTTTTTTTCTTTTTGTGAAAGAATGTGAAACAATCACATCTTTCTCCTTCTGTGCCAGTGTCAAGTCATGCCCAACAGTTTGAATGCATTACAAAACAATACTATATAAATTAAACACATTATTTTAAATAAAATACATTTCAGCATAAACTGGATTTTTTTTTTTTTTTTTTTTTTTTTTCAGTCATGTTTTCAGACTAGTTATCTCAGGTTTGTCAAATTTTCATGAACCTTAACCAACTAACTAAGCAGTGTTTGGAGAGCTAAAGCATGTTTAAAGATTGAAAGTAGATCAAGCTCAAGCTCATTTTATTACAGCCACTGAATAAGTGTAATAATATATTAACAATGGGATACTTTGTATCAAAGAATTGTACACAATCAGTCCCTTGCAAGTCACATGCTTTATTCATTACTGTTGCCTCCCCCCTCAATAGATTGGTCTGCAGCTGAGAGAAACTTCTTATCCCTTTAAAGTAAGTGTTTTTCTTATGCTTTTGAGCTGGTAAATGGGTTTAATGAATGTATTCACTGCTTGTCAAGTTGATTGGGTAATGCCAAATATACATTTTTAGGATATTGAGAAGAAAAAAATTGTTCTTGTCGAAACAGCTGCTTTTTAAAATAGCATTGTTTATGTTTTTTTAAAAGAATTGCTGTTGAATTGATAGTTCTCTTAAATATCAGTAAAAGTTTTCTCTTAAAAACTATTCACAAAGCTGCTGAGAGCTACTTTTACTAAGAAATGGAAAGAAATCTAAGGCTAAGAGAAAGGGCGTGTTTGACCTTATTGCTATGGAAGATGTCAACAAGTTTACAAACTATGCCCACAGTGATTAGCAGATAGGGGCTGGCTATCTGTCAGTAATTTAGTAATAGAAATATTGTACAAGGTATCATATTGCCATATTCAAATTAGAATCTAAAATATCACTGGTAACTCTTTACAATAAGGTCTCATTTGTTGACATTATTTCATGTATTAACTAACATGAACTAACAATGAACAATAGATTTAACATTTATTTACCTTTGTTAATGTTAAAAATGTTCATGTTCATGTTAGTTCTCAGTGCATTAGCTAATGTTAACAGATACAACTTTTGATTTAAAAAACATGTTGGTAAATTTTTAGATTAACATTAACTAAGATTAATAAATGTTGTAGAAGTATTGTTAATTGTTAGTTCATGTTAACTTATCTTGATGTTAATAATTGAAACCTTGGCTAATAAAGTTTTTGAAAGCATGTGAATACTAAAAGTCAACATTAAATGACGTGTTTACATGAAAAACATATTAAACGATATTCAATTATTCAAAACTTTTGGTTGTAGGTGACACACCTATCAGCTATTCTTTTACTGAAATCTCTGCTATACTTTTGGGTCCTTTACTGTTTTTTTCCCCACTCCACAGAAAATGAAATCCATCAGAAAATGATCAGAACCTGCCACATCCAACACACAGAAGTGCTTCTGAAGTCTGATAGAAAGACTAAATCCACTATCAGCTCTTTGCACAGACACACTGAGTTGACCCATTTGACATCTTTATGAAAATGCAACTTTTGTTGATTATTTTATACATTGTTTCTATTGCCTTTCTATACATAGAACACGCTTGTTGTGTCTGTGCCAGTGCTGAATATGAGATAAACGGACATTGCTGCCATATGTGTGCACCTGGTAAGTGAATAGTTCTCAGTAATAAAAGAGAATCACTTTAGTTTTTAGTCCAATTAGTAGTATTGTTTACAAGGAGAATTGCAAGATGTCTTGACTCGGGGCTAAGAAAAACTTTCATAGAAAAGTTTGCATTGTAAAAAGGAACCTTCTAATATCCTATATACTTTTTAAAGGTAATCGTGTTTTATGGCATTGCACAGTGGATACCAGCACGACTTGTGTATCCTGTAGTGCATCCACGTACACCGATGAACCTAATGGCCTTGAAATGTGCTTTTCCTGCTCAACCTGTGATGCAGGTGATGGTTTTACATTTATTTAGCAGAGAGTTCAGGATACCCAAGTGTATACAATCCTTTAACATGCTTCATTATACAATAATAAATGTTATGTTTCAATATATTTAGGTTTAAGGATACAGAAGGCCTGTACACGGTTATCAAATACCATTTGTGAGCCACTAAAAGGATTCTTCTGTATGGTCAGAAAAAAAGGCAGCTGTAAATTAGCTGTTAAACATTCTCAATGTAATCCTGGAGAATACATCCAACAAAAAGGTATGGATGTTCTCATTTTTGGTGTAGATGTTACTAAAGCGAGTGCACAAATCATTGGCAAATACTACTCACAAGTTATTTGCATATTAGAATAGTCAGAAAAGAACACAGAATAATTACTAAACTAGACCTTATTTAATATATTTAATTAGCTATACACAGTTTTTTTGTGATGAAAATGCTACAGCTATCTCTATCAACTTTCTGCAGATACAGTAATTCTAGCTACCATAGTTTATATCTATCTAAATCACGTCTCAAGTATCTGCACTCTTTAGCAAGCACCAGTGGATCTTGTGGATCATAGTTTTTGGTACTATGCAAACAAAGTCTTACACAGGAACCTATTTTTTGTGAATTGTTTGAAAAATTAAACCTTATTGTCAAATGTTACCAATTTTAGAATAACTGACCCAACGTATGTACTGTTCACACTGGGTCATTCTTAATATTGAATAAACAATGTTAAAAACTAAACAATGAATACTTAGTGTGAAAAGCCCTGTAGTGTTAATCTTCAAATAACTCAGTGTCCTAATATCTCAACAGGAACAGCAAGCACTGATACTGTGTGTGGTGAATGCACAAATGGCACCTACTCTGATGGCACTTTCACAGCTTGTCAGACA